TTCCCTACGCGCGATTCAACAGACCAAGTATTAGAGCAAACAATGTTAGATCAAATGGTCAACGATTTATGGGCCCTAGGCAAAACGCCAATTAAATCTGACGTTTTGGAAGAATTATTGATTGAGTATCCTAAAAGGAAAGTAGCAGTAGAATTATATGAAGGTTTTACTAAGGGTTTCAGAATACATTATACCGGTCCGCGATTTCATGTGTTTTCAAAAAATCTTCTTTCGGCTAATGATTACAAAGTAGAAATTAGGGAAAAAATAATGAAAGAAATTAAATTGGGAAGAATTATGGGTCCTTTTAAATATTTACCGATCTCAAATATGCGCATTTCCCCCATCGGGGGAGTACCAAAATCGGATGGCTCAATTAGACTGATAACACATTTATCATACCCTCAGAAAACAAGCGTTAATGATTTTATCAGCGATGAGTTTGCTTGTGTGAAATATTCTTCGTTTGATAAAGTAATAGATATGATAGCAGATTTGGGAAATGGGGCGCTTATTGGAAAAATGGACGTTAAATCGGCATTTCGCCTTTTACCACTGAATCCGGGAGATTTTGATTTGTTTGGTTTTTATTTTGAAGATAATTACTTTGTAGATAAATGCCTACCTATGGGTTGTTCGGAAAGTTGTAATTTATTTGAAAAATTCTCCACGTTTTTGCACTGGAAAATTGCTGATATAACAGGAATAAAATCTTTAGATCATTATCTAGACGATTTCATTTTTGCGGGTAGGAATAATACAGATGATTGCAAAATCTTAATGAGCAAATTTCAAAGAATGTGTTCAGACTTAGGTGTTCCAATTGCTCATGAAAAAACTATAGGACCGGTCCAGGTATTAACTTTCCTTGGGTTAGAAATAAATACTTTGCAAATGCAGGTAAAGGTGCCAAAAGAAAAACTCAATTCGCTGCGTGACGCGTTAGAAAGTTTGTTAGGGAGGAAAAAAGTCACACTTAAGGAAATGCAATCTCTAGTAGGAGGTTTAAGTTTTGTGTGTAGAGCTGTACGCCCAGGTAGAGTTTACCTAAGAAGGTTTTATGATGCTATGTCAGGAATTCGGGCACAACATCATCATATCCGTATTACAGAAGAATTGTCAGACGACTTAAGAACGTGGTTAAAATTTTTGGTCAATTTTAATGGGACACTTTACTTCCCAGAAAGTTATTGGTCAAGTAACCATTCTCTAGAATTATATACAGATAGCGCAGGGTCATGTAAGTTGGGATGCGGGGCGTATTTTGCTGGAAAATGGGTGTACTTTGCCTGGCCAAGATATTGGCATTTTAAAAATATTATGAGGGATATAACATGTCTCGAATTAATACCGATTTTGCTGGCAATTACATTATGGGGACCTGCATTATGCAACAAGAAAGTGCTCTTTCGAACTGACAATAAAGCATTAGTTCAAATTATTAATTCTCAAACTTCTAAATCTAAGCGCATAATGTTTTTCCTAAGACCACTTATCATGAAATGCATGGAATTTAATTTCTCGTTTCGAGCGAAGTTTATTCAAGGCACAGTAAATAAAATTGCTGATTCTATTTCTCGTAAACAGTGGGGCCGTTTCCGTGGGCTAGCACCAAAGGCACAGAGATTCCCAGATCGAATTTCAAAAGAATTTCTTCAGCTGATATACGACAGGAAGTTAGCAATCTGCTGACCGCATCCATATCAAAGAACACGCAGGAAACGTACACTACGGCACTAATTAAGTTTGACAATTTTAGATTAAAACAAAACATTGAGCCTTCCTGGCCGCCAAAGTTGTCAGACATAGTAGAATTTATAGCAGCGTCATCTTTTGAGGGATTGGCGTATTCCACAATACGCACATATGCCTCAGCAATAAGTTTCAAGTGCAAGTTAAACAATTCTGATGACCCCATCCACAATTTCATTATATCTAAAATGTTAGAGGGAAAAAAGAGAATAAGCGCAAAGCCTGACTCACGTTTACCTATAACCTCAGGAATTCTTTCAACAATTATCAATGGACTTCATTTGTCTTGTAGAGATTCCTATGAAACGTTATTATTTACTTCAGCTTACACTTTGGCATTTTTTGGTTGTTTTCGTGTTGGGGAAATTGTCTCATCAAATAAACAGACTAAAGGCATTGTAGGTATTAAAGATGTTAAGATCCAAAAAGATGTCTCACTTAAAATAAGGTTGAAATATTGTAAAACGGACCAATGTGGGAAAGGGACAGAAGTTGTACTTTCCGCCATAGGGGGGCCCTTATGCCCAGTAGAAAATTTACATCGATATTTACTGATACGCCCTTCCTCCGCAAGGGGGCCATTGTTTTGTCATTTTGATGCTTCTCCGCTTACAAGACATCAATTTACAGCTGTACTTAAGAAAACGCTTAAGCTTTGTAACACAGAGTCAAAGCATTACAAAACACACTCATTTAGGATAGGGGGAGCAACCGCATTGGCAATTGCAGGATATTCAGAAGACGTAATAAAAACATCCGGCAGGTGGAAGTCTGCAGCCTATAAGTCATATATAAGAATACCAAGTACACAAATTCCTTCAATAGTATAGAATTATCTTAATTTTATTTTGTGTTTTATCTTTTATACAACACTAGCTTCTCGTGTATGGTGTGTGGGTTCTTCAATCATCAGATGGGCTTTTATGTCATCAGTATTAAGATCGGGTGGACAAAACCTTGGATTAGAAAGGTTAGGTATTCAGATATGGTGGCAGGGATATTCAGGCCTTAGTTTAGGTACTTTAAAACAAAAACTAAGTCATATTTCACGTTTTGAAGGTATACCTGATTGTCTTATTCTTCACTGTGGGGGCAACGACCTCGGAAGCAAACCACTTTATGAACTCAGAAATTTAGTTTATTCCATTGTTGAATTTATTTTGAAAAAGTTCAAGGGAACAAAACTTATCTGGTCACAAATTTTACCAAGAAACAACTGGAAATTTTCAAAAGATATTCATGCTATGGAAAGAGCTCGTATTCGGCTTAACAGTTTTGCAGCTAATTTAGTTTTGAGAAATGGGGGGATGTATATAAAATATAATGACATTAAGAAAAATCACAAGGAACTATTTAGGGAAGATGGGGTACACTTGTCAGATTTGGGTAACAGTTTATTTTTAAACACGTTACAGGGAGCTTTGGAAAAGTTTAGTCAGGGAGGGGGGCCTGTTTACCCGGATAATTAATTAGGAGGTGGGCACAGGCTAATATAGGGTGCCACTTCCCCACTTAGGTGGCGGTGGACATCAAATAGTTGAGGTTTGATGTCCATGTGGCGGATTGCGTGGCACCTTTATTATTATCAAGAAAGGAAAATGAACATTTGCAAAAAACTCTATGACATTTATCAAACTTTGACCGCCGTTTCCCGGGGTCAAGGTAACTTAGAGTAATTTACGTGAAATTGTTAATCAGCGTCCGCCGTTTCCCGGGGTTATGCTGATTAAGGTTGCTTAGTTGTTGAATAATGTTGATGTTGACTGAACAGTTGAAGTTCAGATATGTGTTGAACAGTTGAAATACAAACGTGTTGAAGTTTGTAATTTGTATTGAACAGTTGAATTTGAACATTGAGTTGATGTTGTGATGTTGATATGTTGTGGCTTGCCCAAGTTGAAATGGCAGCCAAATTTAAATTTATAATACAATGCCGTGCCCACTTATACGCCACAGTAAGGGTATATATAATAAATTCAATAAATATACAATGATTTGTGTTGTTGTCTTTTCTTCGATAATGACAACATCTATTAATTTAAAAAATAGATGAGTTTATTGAAGAAAGACAACAGTGATGGTTTTACAAGCAAAGGGTGATAACTTGTACAACTAGCTTACTTAACGTCAGTCTTCGAGTGGGCGGGGAAAGGTAGTGTCATATAACGCGTTCTCAAACTAAATTTCCCTCTTTCTGATAACACACAGCCCTCGGGAAAGTTGATTTCATCACAAAGGAATTAAAAAGAGAAGTAATTTAGACAAAAATCCCTCCACACCCACCCTATACAAAAGAGATGATAGACTGTAGATAAGGAATTAGATGCATTGTGTTCTTTCTCTTGCTGCTGCTTCTTTGGCTCTTTGTTTCAGATGAAGTACTTGAAAGTCTGTTTTCACTATGAAGAAATCGGCACGGAACTAAAGAGACGAAAAGGATCGATTCCACTTGGACGTTTCATTATTCGTCATGGGTATTCCAGCGACTTCTATTTCTGATGATGGAATTTATTCGCACGGGATATGCGGATTGCGTGGCACCTTTATTATTATCAAGAAAGGAAAATGAACATTTGCAAAAAACTCTATGACATTTATCAAACTTTGACCGCCGTTTCCCGGGGTCAAGGTAACTTAGAGTAATTTACGTGAAATTGTTAATCAGCGTCCGCCGTTTCCCGGGGTTATGCTGATTAAGGTTGCTTAGTTGTTGAATAATGTTGATGTTGACTGAACAGTTGAAGTTCAGATATGTGTTGAACAGTTGAAATACAAACGTGTTGAAGTTTGTAATTTGTATTGAACAGTTGAATTTGAACATTGAGTTGATGTTGTGATGTTGATATGTTGTGGCTTGCCCAAGTTGAAATGGCAGCCAAATTTAAATTTATAATACAATGCCGTGCCCACTTATACGCCACAGTAAGGGTATATATAATAAATTCAATAAATATACAATGATTTGTGTTGTTGTCTTTTCTTCGATAAAATAAAAATAATTGTTAAAAAAAAGATACTAGTATATTAAGAAACCAGAAATGTAAATATTTACAAGGTTTTTAAGTAATTGTACATTCTTTAAACTAAAAAAGATAGGAAAGCGAAGAAAACAAAAACGTAAAAAAAAAAAATGCTACTTATACGAGAAAAAACCTGAAATGCAATATTTACATATTTACAATGTATACAATATGTACAAAGTATACCCAAATCTCATGAAACACAAAGATCAGATTTCGAATAGGAATTTACTCAGTGTGGCCATAGACACCTCCACAAATTCGCAGGAAATGGCTTGTAGTGATGATGTCATCGTCATAATCCGCCCAAGCTTGTCGAATTTTCTTCTCCACCCTTGTGCTGGTTATTCTGGCATCACGAGACAGGTCCTGCGCGGAAACCTGGACGTGCACAATTTCAGCCTCCTTCTGCAGCATAGGAATCAAGCGGTAGAACCCAATGTTTCCGTGCCCAGCTTTGCCATTGAGACGATTGTGCCATCCTAGGTAATTTTTTTTTTAAGAATAAGCAAGTCAATAAAATTAAAGGGGGGGGGAGTAGGGAGGAAGGGGGTTAGATATTTAAGGTACACATGAAATAGATATATCTATAATACATTACCTTCGGTATCGTTGTTGGTACGAATCTCCTGCTTGTAGATGGACCAGGCTGGAATAGGGAATACTTCGTTGCTAATCCACTGTCTCTCCATGTAGTCTGTGAGGGACTTTAGAGAAGAAGATGGTTGAACCTTTTCTTGCATTGCCCGGAATGTGGGGTTGATGTCATTTGAAGGCAGAAATGGAAGGGCCATTAACTGTTTGATAAACCAGTGAGTTGCCTTTTTCTCGCGATAGGTGGCAGCTAGTCCAAGGTCCTGCACATGTCTCCATAATGCCTGTGTCCAATGGACGACACATCCACGGATTGAAATACCGGGCAATACTTCTCGAATGGACTGCCAAGCCGCTAACAGAGGCAAATTGATATTTAGTTCAACTTATAATTCTTAACATTTTTCATTCCTACACTAAGTACTATTTTTTCATTTGTGTAATAAGAATAAGAAAATGAAATACCTTTTTCAAAGTCCAGCATAATTTCCTCAACAACTGGTTCATCTAGCCGTTCTAATATGGCCTGCAAAACCTGAAGAATCAGGAAAATCGAAGCTATTTCTCTGATTTGCAATAATTTTTAAAAGGAATAATTTTATAAGTCAGTGATGCATACACATTTTTGTCAGTTTACTTTTGCCTCACCATCATATAGTCTTCCTTTTTTCTCCTTGACATCAGGGCAAATACCAAAGGAAACTGTTTCTTTTTACCGCCCTGTTGCACAAAGGCGTGAATTGACATCAGCTGGCCAGTTTTACGGAAAACTTTGGGTACAACCTAAGAATGTAATACTCATTCGTGCATTTTTGTTTAATCTTAAATCCAAAAAAAAAATATAATATTTAGTGTATCGATATATATAGCACCGACGATGTCTTTGGTATCTATGTATTTTAATTAAATATATACATATATTAACCTTAAAAGTCCCGTCCATATACCAGCGCCTAGCGTCCTTCAGCAGGGATAGCTGGAAAGGGGAACTGAATATTATATGCCTCTGTCCATCTGCATTGATGTCGGCGACAAGGAAGTCTTCGCATTGGAGGAAGTCAAGGTCCATCTAAAAAGAAGCATGATGGATGTAACATGTGAATACTGGTTTATTTTTCGAGAAAAGGGAAAAAAGGGTTAATAATCTATATACCTGGAAATTTAGATCCACTGGTTCCTCAGGACGGAACTTGCTTCTGAATCTATTTGCCACTCTCTTTATCAGATGGAGATTTGGTGCAAGGAATCTAGTTTCCTCACTGAAATGGTCCATTACTGTTCCCTCTGCAATTGACATTGCTGACTGGAACACATTCTCTCTTGCAGACTGTTTCACCTTAATTTCAAGTGTATAAAGTGGCTCTAAGCATAACTTGAATTCCGTCTAACATTGTTTTATATTTTTTTAGCAATTTCATTTACCTTGGCTGAAATTTCCTTCAGATGTGGGAGCTTTAAATTACCAGGATGAAGATGTTTGCTGCTTCCCCTTACAAATAATTCTCCTTGCTGTGACACACTGGCATAGCATTTGATCTTCTTTGACCTCATGCTGAAAGTCCAAGTAGTTGTCTTTTGGCCCTCATGCTAAATTAAACAAGTATTAACATAGTATTGGGTATGGGAAATCGTTGGGGAAAAATTAATAATATTTTTGGTAAGGACCCTCCTTTCTTAAATTTCGACGATTTCTTCCATTTCTTAAAGATGTAAAATAAATCAGAATACACCTTTTGCTACTTACTTTGACACTATACGAATAGCCATCGCTGGATACTAAGAGACGTCCGCCACGACTACTTCCTTTCTCCAAGAGCTTAAACGTTACTGGGACATCCTCCAGCACTGTGTCATCCATGGGATTGTCATCCTCTAAAGACCTGTTACAAGTATTGTAAGAAAAATGAAAAATACACGGACTTTGAATTCAAATACTTTATTTAATAGCATGTATATAGAATTAAAAACTTGTCGTACTGTTCAAGAACTTGAGAAGATTCAACAACAGCACGGCAACTAATGTTGAAAGAAACCATGAGCTGATCATTTCTGCTTCCTTCCGCTTCTCTCGTGCTCTCCAGTACTGGCACACTTCTAAAACTGTCGTCAAATGTATTGTCTCTGATTTGTCCCGTCTGAAAAGATTCTTCTTCCATCTGTAGATTTTTTTAACATAAAGAAAGAAAGAACGTGCTGAGAGAGATATTATGAAACACTTTAATAGAAACTTGTCAAAACATTGTTAATAACATTTAATAAAAAATTTAATTATTTTAAGTTGAATGGATATTGTATAAAATTGTATACAGGCTCGTCCTCGTCGGTGGAGACATCGTATGGGTTAGATCCCTGAAGCTCATCTGCTCCCCTATTTTCATCCTTGCAGTCGTTACAGTACCAGGCTATTCCCGCCTCTCCACCAAAAATAGACCAATACTCTTGCAGGGATACGTCTACAAAATTTGTTTAAGTAAAAGTCTAGTCCAAAATTGCATTTTTGTTTATTTATACTGAATGTCATCAGGATTTTTTTTTTATCTTACTCGTGCTGCACAAACGATGCTGCCATCTCTCGCAGTTTTCACAGCAAAGAGCGTGCTGTCTAGGTCGAACCTGTAATTAATAATTAATATTTTATTTTGTTGCAAGATTTTAAATTGTTATATTTTGAATATACCACAAGAAAAATCACAACTGTCTGGTGCAAATGTTTGTTCTAAATAAAGAGAATACATTATTAGAACTGTATTTAATGTTGTTCACGAATTGTGATCTTGATGTTTATTCTTTTAAATGCAACAACGTACGTTTCAAAATCTCAGTAGATGTCAAATAAAATATCTCTAAAAGGTTTGTTTACTCCAAGTTTGTATATTTGTCTAATAGTTTACTTATTCAGGGATTCAATTCAAAAAAATCTCGTATCTCATTTTTTTTTACGCTTTTACCCCCCCCCCCCCCCCCCGGCGTTCAGTTCACATTAATTGTTATACCAGAGGCAGTAAATTTTAAGTACAAACAAAAACATTTTCACAATCATACAATTATGAAATGCTTGAAACAGTTTTTTGAAAGGGTTTAGACACATGATTGTTATGTTAGCTAGATCTTTACACTGTTTACATGTACTTACGTCAATTTTATTATTAAGGAGTCATTCACGATAAGTCAATTATGCACGTACGCAAGAGAAAATATTAATGCAGAAAAAAATGTTTCAAACAATCAGGACTTTTTAAAATTAAAACTACATATATGCACATTGATTTTGTGTTTTTAGAATAAACATATTCAAAAAGGGGGTACACAAAGCGCTGCATTTCATTTCCGAAATTTTGCATTGCATTTCCTACATTTTTTGTTTGCATTTCCGACATTTTTTTTATTTTCATTTCCGACATTTATTTCTTTACATTTCCGGAATATTTGGAGGGTACTTTTACGACAATTTAATGTTAACGAAGCACGTGGAAATAGGATATAAATATTACATTTATTTCAAACCACATTTTCTGAATAAAAATAATGCAATACACTAAAGAACATGCATATGCCAAAAAAAAAAAAAAAAAAAGGTCTAAGAAGGAAGTTAAAACTTACTTGTCTGTGACAGTCCAAACATTTAGGATTAGTCATCTTGCCTAAAGATTGTGATCGCTAGAAAGTATTGCAGTAAATGAGATTTTTTATTAAGTCAAATAAAAAGTGGCAAAAAATTCTTATTTATATAATAATCCGGCTGAACACATCTGTGTACAATACACAACGCTGACATTTTCTGTCACTAAGAATGATTTCTCCAAATTTAAACGAGTAATAATTAAGGTGTCAATCTGTGAAATGTAATCGACAATTCACGGATAAACATATGTACCCAGCATGTATATACAAAAAACACCGTGTAAGGTATCATAAAACCGCCAGACAGCAATTACGAAATCTAACAATAATATATTTATTCGGAATTCCTGATAAAGGCCATAAACGAAAGATGACATCAAAAAGGAAAATAAACAAACTTGAAGACTACTATTGAATTTAATTGTGGGAAAAAAATGGATTAAAATAAAATATTTTTATCATCGCATTTAAATCTAAGTTATTCCATATTTCATAAGAAAGAAAGAAAAAACAAACAAAGAAGAAATAAAATAAAAAATAGATAAATAAATGAATTAAGGAATACTTAAATAAATAAATGAATAAATGTGTGAACTCAGAAATAAATAAATAAATGAATAAATAAATAGATAGATAAATAAATAGATAGATAAATAAATAGATAGATAGATACATAAATTTTCTAATTCAAATAATGGTACTAGTATAAAGCATGTTAATGTTAAGCTCAATAGTAATGGTATAAAAACTTATTGTATTATAATTTTCATGTTGGAGTGAAATGACCTAGGTTGTGGAGAGAAATGACCTAGGTAATGGAACGAAATGACCTAGGAGAGAAATGACTTGGGTGGAAATGACCTAGGCGGAGTGGGTACTGGGGAGAAATGACCCGGATTCTTTTGTATAATAATACTCTTTAAAATTGCAGCATCGTTGTTTTGTCCATCGGCCAGATAAGACCCTTAATAGATGTATAGTTTACACCCGCTAAATGTTTGCCTTTGAAAAGATTGATTACCACTCGTTTGGATATAAACATATGTTCCGTCTTACACAAGGATAGCAACGGGTCTCTCATCTGCTAATAGATGCAGAGCAAAGGTTCATTTGTGCTGTGTAATAAAGTCCTCTTCCATATTACGGTATGCTCAGATCCTAAATACTGTGGGAAAAATGTTCCTTTAAGGCATCTCTTGCACTTCCGATAAATTAGAAATGACGCTTTTATTTTTGATTTGAAACATGCTGCTAAGAAAGCTTAATGAATTTCCGGTTCTTAATTTTGTCAATAGTTAAGCGAGGCATGGTCTTAACTCCACCATCTGTTCGGTGACGATTGCAACACTTTGCTCCATCGGAGATCAACATTCCACTTTCAATATATGTTTTCAGCCTTATCTCTTTGCTGATGCTCTTCAAGCCTTTTGTACCTTTGCAAAATTGGCCCTTATTGTGGGACAAACTGGTCCGAGGGATTGATAAGCATATTCGCTTTAGACTTGCAAGACATGGCTTTGGAGTTTGCAAATTATGGTATTCCTCTTGTACAGAGGATGCTTTAGGATGCATGTGTATTAATATCGTTTCTGTGCTGTGTTCTCTGTAAAATTCAATGTCACATCGACTGCATACTATACAGATATCAAAGTTTACTTTTTCATTCATTTTCACAGTTTACTTTTTCATTTACTTTGAAAGTCTGCATTTGCAATATCTTTCACTTTTCACCTATTTTTCCTCACAAATCTTTTGCATAAACACCATTTTATAGACAGTGATTTGTCCATTATATTGTTCAAAAGGTATTTGCCCCCACTCAGGTCCGGATTGCATTCTCAGAACGGCTGAGGTAATAAAAGTCATTATTCATTTGATGAGATGAAAAGTACAAAATTAAAAAATCAATATAAGAAAAGTTATAATAGAGTATTTTAGAATTCAAAACAGTATACAAAGAATGCCACTATTATTGCTGATGGTATAAATGAAGACAATGAAAAAGTAGAAAAAAATTATCAATTCGGATTTCCTCTTGTACTAAATAAATTACTCTTTATCATATCTGTTTTGAAAAGTAAACAGTACGAATAGGCAAGTTAACTGAAATAGAACATGTATAAACAGCTCATAATATTATAAACTACATGAAAAGCAATGTGATTGAAATATAAAAACATGCACTTTGGTTAGTTTGCGTCCATGTGAAGAGGCTCTTTGAAACTTCTTTTGTTCCTTTCTGTTATTCCTTGACATTCCGTATGCCAATTTCTTCTGCAAGATCACAAAGTTAAGGTATTCTTTCGTCTTAAATGCAATTTTCTTTACTTTTTATGTATTTGGGCATATTGAGTGAAGAAACATTTTTAAAAAATTTTTTGGTACCAGAAACCTTATCATTAAATATCATTAAATAATAAAACAAATGGACTTGTATTAAGAAAAGATTTCATTACTCTATGTAAAGATTTAGACTGCGTTGGATTTCTTTAATTGCTAAGATTTAAGTATTATATCGTTTCCCTTAGATTATTGCAGTTACAAAACCACCAAGTGACTCCATATTCCCCACAAAATAAGGTAATGTCAGTAAATGATTTGATAGATTCTGTCCTCTTTTTTTAATCTCCTCCAGGATCATTGAATTTGAATGCATGTGTATTAATATTTGAAGTGTGCTTAACGATGTTATTATTATCTTCTTTTTCTGCGCTTAGAAATTGGAAATGATGAAAATAAGATTAAGGTCAAAAGAGATTTAAATTCTTCAGTCCATTTTTTTTCTTACCACTCAAAGTACTTCTCCTCCATCTTTCCCTAATTTACATTTAAGATATTAATGTTAATGTTTCTGGTATGGATGCAAACCCTTTATTTACTTATTTATTAGGTCAGCCACTGTGCAATGTTCTCTCAGGAACTGTTATTCCAAAGAAGTAAAAGTTTGTATAATCATTATTTATAACATTTTCAATGGTGAAAAGTTGTGATTTATTCATTAATAAAGGTGATATTATTTCACAGTGTGAAAGGATACCTAAGTAATATTCTGTCACGGTATGAAACTATGAAACTATATCAGAGTAAGTAAAATATAATTTCTGGTCTGTAATAAGATTGAGATAGTAACTAAAACATCTTGATAGAGATTAAAACTGCCAATTTCTTCCCAAATATGTAGCTAAAATCCATGTTACAATGTTTTCAATCTAACAACTGCTAAGCTATGGTGTTGCAACTGCTCAACTGCTCAATTATGACGTCACAACACTGTGTTAAGAAAAGACAAAGGCAAAGGGAAAATTAAAGAAAATGTAATAAACAGAAAATTCAGCGTTTTGTAGTTGGATATGGAATTTATTTCACTCGTGAGACAGGATTTTTTATATCTTCTCTCGTGCTTCGCACACGTGAAATAAATTCCATATCCAACTACAAAACATTGAATATCCTTTATGTATATAATATCAAAAAATAAATTCATACATTCGTATATGAAATCTAAAAATAACGATAAGTATTCATACTCAAAGTCCACTAAAACATTACAAATCGTGAGCAGAGCCGAGACAGACCTTTGAAAACAGAAGTTGTATTATGTTTATTTTTTCTTTTCTTTAAAACAACCAACCGTCCTATTATAAATTTTAAACAATATTTGACGTTTTCCAAATCAGTTTTGTATTAACTTGAAATTGAAAGGTCTACTAAATTTCATTTGCTGAGATAATATGTTATGACTTTTTTGGTAGAAATTAAGTCAATAATGTAGTCTTATTTCTAAAGTAAAAGTAAATATTAGTATAGAACATACTTTGAATGAAAATAAGATATTCTAATTGATTACATAAAAAAAAGTGTGTGATTAATTTCTGATCTTGTGTGATTTTCGTTTACATTGTTTGACTAAAATTCGATATGATACGTCCTCTTGTAGACCTTTTTAGCACCATAGGCCTCCTTAAAAAGTTTGTTACTTTAATACAGATTAGGGAATTTCAATAGATGAAGGTTTATATTTATTTGAAATGAAAGTTTTCATAAAATACTTTCGTTTAGAAACAAGTTATGATGCTCATGTTTTCTTTTACTCCGAACATAGTTTGTATACAATGTTTGCAATCAGAAACATGACCGTATATTTCCTTTGTGGGGAAATATTGCACGTTAATGAAACCATTATTTAAGACGCGAATATTTACCAAGTAACAGGTAAAGATAATCAAAAAGTGACTGATTTCAGAAGTCCTTTAAAGAATAAAAAATCTAAATAGTGCTAAAGCACAGACTCCTAGAATTACCAGAGATGATGTCATGTGCCTAGGACTCGTAAACATCTCTGTTTATACCGGTCACAAACAATATCCTAGCATATTTTATCTAAATACAATAAGTTGTATTAATTTTGAAACAAAGACAATATTTAAACATAGTTTGTTTTATTGGATATGTTCAAATATCATAGAAACCGTGAAAACCAGAGTCATTGGGACGACGATGTTAAGGCCTTGCATTGAATTGATCATCTTTTTTTTTAATGTTGGAAAGAATCACTAATTAATTTTTTTTCTTTAAGCTTACCATTTTCTTTTCTTTTGTTATAGATGAAGTAAATATTTCAACAAAATTAATTCTTTGCAGGTGCTTGAAATCTAAAGTAAGCATAAAACGCCTCTTTCGTTATCTATTTCTCTTTTTAATGATTTTTTGATATCTTTGTACCGTAATTCAATCACAAAAGATGATGAATAATCATTTGTTAGCACACACTCTATATTAAACTTCAAAATTTATATACACCCTCTTCCATATCAATAATTGCTTTTCAAGTAGGAGTACACGAAATTCAAAAAGTATAAATATGAGGATATCAAATATGCCAAACCATACAACAATTATGTTGAGCCAAAAGTTTTACAGCATTGTGTTGTGTGTTGCTTTGTTTTCCTCCGTCTTGGTACTGATGGATGCTGCTATATCCATGACATCAGGAAAAATACGTAGGTTCTTTTTTG